TAAGGGTGGTTGGACATGATAATCTAAGGGTGGTTGGACATGATAATCTAAGGATGGTTGGACATGATAATCTAAGGGTGGTTGGACATGATAATCTAAGGGTGGTTGGACATGATAATCTAAGGATGGTTGGACATGATAATCTAAGGGTGGTTGGACATGACAATCTAAGGATGGTTGGACATGATAATCTAAGGGTGGTTGGACATGACAATCTAAGGATGGTTGGACATGATAATCTAAGGATGGTTGGACATGATAATCTAAGGGTGGTTGGACATGACAATCTAAGGATGGTTGGACATGATAATCTACAGATGGTTGGACAAGATAATCTAAGGATGGTTGGACATGATAATCTAAGGGTGGTTGGACATGATAATCTAAGGATGGTTGGACATGATAATCTAAGGATGGTTGGACATGATAATCTAAGGATGGTTAGACATGATAAGCTAAGGATGGTTAGACAAAATAATCTAAGGATGGTTGGACATGATAATCTAAGGATGGTTGGACATGATAATCTAAGGGTGGTTGGACATGATAATCTAAGGGTGGTTGGACATGATAATCTAAGGATGGTTGGACATGATAATCTACAGATGGTTGGACAAGATAATCTAAGGATGGTTGGACATGATAATCTAAGGGTGGTTGGACATGATAATCTAAGGGTGGTTGGACATGATAATCTAAGGATGGTTGGACATGATAATCTAAGGGTGGTTGGACATGATAATCTAAGGGTGGTTGGACATGATAATCTAAGGATGGTTGGACATGATAATCTAAGGGTGGTTGGACATGACAATCTAAGGATGGTTGGACATGACAATCTAAGGATGGTTGGACATGATAATCTAAGGATGGTTGGACATGATAATCTAAGGGTGGTTGGACATGACAATCTAAGGATGGTTGGACATGATAATCTACAGATGGTTGGACAAGATAATCTAAGGATGGTTGGACATGATAATCTAAGGGTGGTTGGACATGATAATCTAAGGGTAGTTGGACATGATAATCTAAGGATGGTTGGACATTATAATCTACAGATGGTTGGACAAGATAATCTAAGGATGGTTGGACATGATAATCTAAGGGTGGTTGGACATGATAATCTAAGGGTGGTTGGACATGATAATCTAAGGATGGTTGGACATGATAATCTAAGGGTGGTTGGACATGATAATCTAAGGGTGGTTGGACATGATAATCTAAGGATGGTTGGACATGATAATCTAAGGGTGGTTGGACATGACAATTTAAGGATGGTTGGACATGATAATCTTAGGGTGGTTGGACATGACAATCTAAGGATGGTTGGACATGATAATCTAAGGATGGTTGGACATGATAATCTAAGGGTGGTTGGACATGACAATCTAAGGATGGTTGGACATGATAATCTAAGGATGGTTGGACATGATAATCTAAGGATGGTTGGACATGATAATCTACAGATGGTTAGACATGATAAGCTAAAGATGGTTGGACATGATAATCTAAGGATGGTTAGACATGATAATCTAAGGATGGTTGGACATGATAATCTAAGGATGGTTGGACATGATAATCTAAGGATGGTTGGACATGATAATCTAAGGATGGTTGGACATGATAATCTAAGGATGGTTAGACATGATAAGCTAAGGATGGTTAGACAAAATAATCTAAGGATGGTTGGACATGATAATCTAAGGATGGTTGGACATGATAATCTAAGGATGGTTGGACAAGATAATCTAAGGATGGTTGGACAAGATAATCTAAGGATGGTTGGACATGATAATCTACAGATGGTTAGACATGATAATCTAAGGATGGTTGGACATGATAATCTAAGGATGGTTGGACATGATAATCTAAGGATGGTTGGACATGATAATCTAAGGATGGTTGGACATGATAATCTAAGGATGGTTAGACATGATAAGCTAAGGATGGTTAGACAAAATAATCTAAGGATGGTTGGACATGATAATCTAAGGATGGTTGGACATGATAATCTAAGGATGGTTGGACATGATAATCTAAGGATGGTTGGACATGATAATCTAAGGATGGTTGGACATGATAATCTAAGGATGGTTGGACATGATAATCTAAGGATGGTTGGACATGATAATCTAAGGATGGTTAGACATGATAAGCTAAGGATGGTTGGACATGATAATCTAAGGATGGTTAGACAAAATAATCTAAGGATGGTTGGACATGATAATCTAAGGATGGTTGGACATGATAATCTAAGGATGGTTGGACAAAATAATCTAAGGATGGTTGGACATGATAATCTAAGGATGGTTAGACAAAATAATCTAAGGATGGTTAGACATGATAATCTAAGGATGGTTAGACAAAATAATCTAAGGATGGTTAGACATGATAATCTAAGGATGGTTAGACAAAATAATCTAAGGATGGTTGGACATGATAATCTAAGGATGGTTAGACAAAATAATCTAAGGATGGTTGGACATGATAAGCTAAGGATGGTTGGACATGATAATCTAAGGATGGTTGGACATGATAATCTAAGGATGGTTGGACATGATAATCTAAGGATGGTTGGACATGATAATCTAAGGATGGTTGGACATGATAATCTAAGGATGGTTGGACATGATAATCTAAGGATGGTTGGACATGATAATCTAAGGATGGTTGGACATGATAATCTAAGGATGGTTGGACATGATAATCTAAGGATGGTTGGACATGATAATCTAAGGATGGTTGGACATGATAATCTAAGGATGGTTGGACATGATAATCTAAGGATGGTTAGACATGATAAGCTAAGGATGGTTGGACATGATAATCTAAGGATGGTTGGACATGATAATCTAAGGATGGTTGGACATGATAATCTAGGGATGGTTGGACATGATAATCTAAGGATGGTTGGACAAGATAATCTAAGGATGGGTGGACATGATAATCTAAGGATGGTTGGACATGATAATCTAAGGATGGTTGGACATGATAATCTAAGGATGGTTGGACATGATAATCTAAGGATGGTTGGACATGATAATCTAAGGATGGTTGGACATGATAATCTAAGGATGGTTAGACATGATAAGCTAAGGATGGTTGGACATGATAATCTAAGGATGGTTGGACATGATAATCTAAGGATGGTTGGACATGATAATCTAGGGATGGTTGGACATGATAATCTAAGGATGGTTGGACAAGATAATCTAAGGATGGGTGGACATGATAATCTAAGGATGGTTGGACATGATAATCTAAGGATGGTTGGACATGATAATCTAAGGATGGTTGGACAAAATAATCTAAGGATGGTTGGACATGATAATCTAAGGATGGTTGGACATGATAATCTAAGGATGGTTGGACAAAATAATCTAAGGATGGTTGGACATGATAATCTAAGGATGGTTGGACATGATAATCTAAGGATGGTTGGATAATTTTTTTAATAAGTTTTTTTTTGTCTGGCATGCAACACACTGGTTTGCACGTACAACACTAAATGAAAAGCAGTTTATACAAAGTTTACTCATTGCTTTGCTTTTGAAAAATTTTAATAGCATTTTTTCTTTATTAATTATGTTGCACTCTATCTATCTAGACATGCATACCATTTTTTTCTACTGCTAGCTTCTGTTTGATAAACAAAGTGTAAAATTGCGCAAAGCAGATAGAATATCTTGATTGACCACCAGATAGAATATCTTGATTGACCACCAGATAGACTTGATTGACCACCAGATAGACTATCTTGATTGACCACCAGATAGACTATCTTGATTGACCACCAGATAGACTATCTTGATTGACCACCAGATAGACTTGATTGACCACCAGATAGACTATCTTGATTGACCACCAGATAGAATATCTTGATTGACCACCAGATAGAATATCTTGATTGACCACCAGATAGAATATCTTGATTGACCACCTGATAGAATACCTTGATTGACCACCAGATAGAATGACTTGATTGACCACCAGATAGACTATCTTGATTGACCACCAGATAGAATATCTTGATTGACCACCAGATAGACTTGATTGACCACCAGATAGACTATCTTGATTGACCACCAGATAGACTATCTTGATTGACCACCAGATAGACTATCTTGATTGACCACCAGATAGAATATCTTGATTGACCACCAGATAGACTTGATTGACCACCAGATAGACTATCTTGATTGACCACCAGATAGAATATCTTGATTGACCACCAGATAAACTATCTTGATTGACCACCAGATAGACTATCTTGATTGACCACCAGATAGAATGACTTGATTGACCACCAGATAGACTATCTTGATTGACCACCAGATAGACTATCTTGATTGACCACCAGATAGACTATCTTGATTGACCACCAGATAGACTATCTTGATTGACCACCAGATAGACTATCTTGATTGACCACCAGATAGACTTGATTGACCACCAGATAGACTTGATTGACCACCAGATAGACTATCTTGATTGACCACCAGATAGACTATCTTGATTGACCACCAGATAGAATATCTTGATTGACCACCTGATAGAATACCTTGATTGACCACCAGATAGACTATCTTGATTGACCACCAGATAGACTATCTTGATTGACCACCAGATAGACTATCTTGATTAACCACCAGATAGACTATCTTGATTGACCACCAGATAGACTATCTTGATTGACCACCAGATAGACTATCTTGATTGACCACCAGATAGACTATCTTGATTGACCACCAGATAGACTATCTTGATTGACCACCAGATAGACTATCTTGATTGACCACCAGATAGACTATCTTGATTGACCACCAGATAGACTATCTTGATTGACCACCAGATAGACTATCTTGATTGACCACCAGATAGACTATCTTGATTGACCACCAGATAGACTATCTTGATTGACCACCAGATAGACTATCTTGATTGACCATGACAAAATCTAGAAGAAAGTTAAGTTGCCACCTGTTTTGTTGTTTCAGCCCACAAGGCTACAGCCATTCAACCTTACAAGGGTCTACCGCCCCCACCCAACTGTTTCAAACCAGCTTTGCACTTCTCTAAAGACGAGGAAATAGATTTGATAGCTCAGTCAGATGACAATTGGTGGAAGGTAGGTCGGGGTGGGGGTCAAGTGCTAGTCTTGGCTGGGTGGGTCTAGAGGCTATTTAGATGACCAGTAAGACAGTTGATGGTGTCTGTAGTCTGACCATAAAGACAGTCCTGTCTATTTTACAGGGCCGGTTAAAAAGTGGTATGGAGGGCTACTTTCCTACCAGTCACGTTGTCAAGAAAAAGGTAAGTTTACTCTACTATGGCTACTCCATCTATTAATAGGTTTGATACCCAACAGAAATAAGCAGACATAACAGAAATAAGCAGACATTCACAGGTCTCCATGAATAAAAGGCTTTTAAGGGGACATGCTATGTTTTTTTCTATTTTTTACAGTTTAAGATCTAAAGCCTTTTGAATACTTTTATCATATTTGGCATATAAAAGTAAGTATTAAACAGGAAAAAAAGGGTCAAAAACAATTTTGGTTGTCATGGAAACCCAAAAAAACCTCCGCCATTTTGAATTTTTTGGTACATTTAAAAATACTAAGGCTTTTTTATTTATGCACCTATAGCAATCAAATTTAAACTGCTTATATTTCAGTATATATTAAAACTTTTGTCACGACAACTTTTTGAAATAATTACTAGTAAGAATTTTACAAGGTCTAAAAAATCGTACCCTTTTTAGTATTCAAAAGTTTCAAAATGTGCATATTAATTACCAAATACTTTTTTTCTATGCAAGCAATCACAATTCCCTCGTGACAAAAGTTGTATTTTTGCACCAAGAACATTTACTGAAAATATGGTTGGCATTGTTTAATAAATAAAAAAGTAGTAGGCTTTTTAGTGTTAAAAACCTGCGAACTGAGAAAAACGGCCAAAAGTAACAAAAACTAGGTCAGGAAAGTACCATATCTGTGTAAACTGCAAAGCCGATTGTAAGCTTTGGGTGTTTCCGAGATGTAGGAAATTAAGTTTATTAAATACATGAGAAATCAAGCTTTCCAATGATGTCAAATACATTATAATGACGGATATAAAACTTTTCATAGAGAGCTTTTAAGATTGGGAAAAATTGATTATTTTTTAATTAATAGGGTCATAAAAATCGTAATTCAAACACATAAAATATTTTTTTCTCTTTAAAGTTATTATTTTTTTTATACAAAAATGGACAAAGTATCCAAAAGTGCAAAAAACCCATCATGACGAAAAACAAGAAATTTTGTGATTTTTTTTTTCCGCGCATATCCCCTTAATCACTTTGAAATTCTCACATTTTTTTTGTAATTTAAGTTTAATTCGTACTTTGATCAATTGATTTTTAAATAAAAAACCAGAAAAGCTTTTATTCTGATTTATTTTTCCCATGATTAAAAAAGGTTTAGTTTTGTGTGTAACAAAAACCATCTAAAGCTCTTATGATCCAAGCACGTAGGTAGATGAACTGATTGTAAATGTAACTAGTTACCTAGTGTTAATAAAGTATCTGATGAAATATGCTTTAGACTGAATGACACTCATAGAGAACATCAAGGCGGCCCTGTCTAGTTAATAATTCATTCATTCTATTTGAATTTGCTATTTCTAAGGTTGATTGAAGTTTCTAAGGTTTTGCTTGATGTTTTTTTTGATATATTGCCAGTTTGAAATGATGTTCCTGACATGGGTTCCTAGGTTGATTTCTCTGATTTCACTGAAATAGACCTTGACTGTCCTCTTGTTTAGTGCCCACCATTGTTAGCATGGACTCAATACAAGGCACATGTCTGACCTCTGACCTCTATTCACACCCCAAGGTCTCTAAAGATAGCATCACTCAGCAGAATGGCAGCCAGAAGTGGCCAGAGGATGGGGCAGGTGCACTCAGTGTCTCGGCCAAAAAAGTTGAAGGTTTCCCCTCTCAGCTCTGGTAGGCTGGGGGTCTGTCTGTCTGTCTGTGTGTTGTCTGTCCTCTCACCCTGTGCTGCTGGGCATGGTCTGTTGGTTCAAAGCTCTAACCTGACTCTAGTTGGTAACATTCTAATGCTGGTACTTCATGCCCAGTCACCAGTGGTTGGTCCCTGCAACCAGCACTACACTAGGGACATCCTCGAGAAACATGAGGGATGTCATCCAGATACATTAGAGAGGTTATCTATAATTCTGGTTCTCTATGGTGCTGGTTGCTGGCTTGATGTCTACATGTCTCTGTATCTGGACCAGCCATTGATGTCTGGCATGTTGGCTAGTGCTGCATGGATTGGTGCTTGTTTTTTTTTTATTTGAATGGAATCAGCCTACTGTGTCAGCATTGGTTAGTTCACCACTGCTGTCTGTAGCTGTCTTGTAGCTGACCACTGCTGTCTGTAGCTGTCTTGTAGCTGACCACTGCTGTCTATAGCTGTCTTGTAGCTGACCACTGCTGTCTGCTGCAGACCCATGCTGTCTGTAGCCGAGCAAGTCAACATTGTGATGTATCACTTGATGTTTTGACTAGTTGAACTTTATTAATGCATGCTTTGATGTGATGTTTGCTAATGCAATGTGTCACCTTGTTAAGAGCCCAAGTGACTCGTATGAACAAGTTGAAGCCCAGTTCCCCAGGAGAAATCCCCCTCCACAGCCTGACCGGCAGGATAATGGTCCACAGAGCATGGCTCTGCTCAAATATTTGGCCGCATTTCCATGGTATGTTTTACACCTCATAGTGGGGAGGGGGGGATCTTTACAGCAGTTTTAGTCATCATTGTGTTTTGTATACTAGTCACATGAGGGGGGGGGGGGCATCTTCACATGATATGTTGTGATCATTATGTTTTGTCTACTAGTCACACATCATATGTTGTGATCATTATGTTTTGTGTACTAGTCACATGGGTGGGGGAGGGCATCTTCACATCATATGTTGTGATCATTATGTTTTGTATACTGGTCATAGAATGATGGGGGGGGGGGGGTGGCATCACTCCCATTAGCTTGTAAGAAATGTGTTTTTAGCACTCACCTAAGCCTAAATGAATGATTTCTACTTCAAGTCCAAGACCCATCCCTCATGTTAAGATAAAATCTAAAGAGTGAATGAATCACTGCGCTCCCCATTTATCTAGTGCTGTAGTGTTGTGTCACAGCCCAACAACTGATGTGTGATGTTTGAACTCTCCTACATTGGTTTTTTATTCTTTGATATTTTAAAAATAAAAAAAAGTTAGATGAAGTATTTGTGTTGAATGCTGCCATTTGCCTGCCACTCCCCCTTGTCTTACATTACCTGTGTTCCTCATTGTTTTCATGTTTCACCTCATTTTTTGTTTCATGGTTGTTGCTTGCTGTTGTAGTCCCTTTGTTTTTTTTAATCAAATTTTTACTTGATAGACTTTAATAACATTGTGCATTATTCAAGTTTTTACTTGATAGACTTTGGTTATATTGTGCATAAAATGTCTCTAACATGCTTTAATTGAATTAAAAACTAATTAGTCTTTAACTTAACTAATGTATCATTTATCTCTGTCAGGTTCACCTTCATCTTAATTAAATATTTTAATTAGACCAACCTATGTAATGATCACTCTTTGTAATGCTGACTGGTTTTTATAGAGATGACCCCAGTATGTACATCTGACCCCAGTATGTAGAGCTGACCCCAGTATGTAGAGCTGACCCCAGTATGTAGAGCTGACCCCAGTATGTAGAGATGACCCCCACTATGTAGAGCTGACCCCAGTATGTAGAGCTGACCCCAGTATGTACATCTGACCCCAGTATGTGGAGCTGACCCCAGTATGTAGAGCTGACCCCAGTATGTAGAGCTGACCCCAGTATGTAGAGATGACCCCAGTATGTACAGCTGACCCCAGTATGTAGAGCTGACCCCAGTATGTACAGCTGACCCCAGTATGTAGAGATGACCCCAGTATGTACATCTGACCCCAGTATGTAGAGATGACCCCCACTATGTAGAGCTGACCCCAGTATGTAGAGCTGACCCCAGTATGTAGAGCTGACCCCAGTATGTAGAGCTGACCCCAGTATGTAGAGATGACCCCCACTATGTAGAGCTGACCCCAGTATGTAGAGATGACCCCAGTAAGTACATCTGACCCCAGTATGTGGAGCTGACCCCAGTATGTAGAGATGACCCCAGTAAGTAGAGATGACCCCAGTATGTAGAGCTGACCCCAGTATGTAGAGCTGACCCCAGTATGTGGATCTGACCCCAGTATGTAGAGCTGACCCCAGTATGTACATCTGACCCCAGTATGTACATCTGACCCCAGTATGTACATCTGACCCCAGTATGTAGAGCTGACCCCAGTATGTAGAGCTGACCCCAGTATGTACATCTGACCCCAGTATGTAGAGCTGACCCCAGTATGTAGATCTGACCACAGTATGTAGAGCTGACCCCAGTATGTACATCTGACCCCAGTATGTACATCTGACCCCAGTATGTAGAGCTGACCCCAGTATGTACATCTGACCCCAGTATGTACATCTGACCCCAGTATGTAGAGCTGACCCCAGTATGTAGAGCTGACCCCAGTATGTAGAGATGACCCCCACTATGTAGAGATGACCCCCACTATGTAGAGCTGACCCCAGTATGTAGAGCTGACCCCAGTATGTACATCTGACCCCAGTATGTGGAGCTGACCCCAGTATGTAGAGCTGACCCCAGTATGTAGAGCTGACCCCAGTATGTAGAGATGACCCCAGTATGTACATCTGACCCCAGTATGTAGAGATGACCCCCACTATGTAGAGCTGACCCCAGTATGTAGAGCTGACCCCAGTATGTAGAGCTGACCCCAGTATGTAGAGCTGACCCCAGTATGTAGAGATGACCCCCACTATGTAGAGCTGACCCCAGTATGTAGAGATGACCCCAGTAAGTACATCTGACCCCAGTATGTGGAGCTGACCCCAGTATGTAGAGATGACCCCAGTAAGTAGAGATGACCCCAGTATGTAGAGCTGACCCCAGTATGTAGAGCTGACCCCAGTATGTGGATCTGACCCCAGTATGTAGAGCTGACCCCAGTATGTACATCTGACCCCAGTATGTACATCTGACCCCAGTATGTACATCTGACCCCAGTATGTAGAGCTGACCCCAGTATGTAGAGCTGACCCCAGTATGTACATCTGACCCCAGTATGTAGAGCTGACCCCAGTATGTAGATCTGACCCCAGTATGTAGAGCTGACCCCAGTATGTACATCTGACCCCAGTATGTACATCTGACCCCAGTATGTAGAGCTGACCCCAGTATGTACATCTGACCCCAGTATGTACATCTGACCCCAGTATGTAGAGCTGACCCCAGTATGTACATCTGACCCCAGTATGTACATCTGACCCCAGTATGTACATCTGACCCCAGTATGTACATCTGACCCCAGTATGTACATCTGACCCCAGTATGTAGAGCTGACCCCAGTATGTAGAGCTGACCCCAGTATGTAGAGCTGACCCCAGTATGTACATCTGACCCCAGTATGTAGAGCTGACCCCAGTATGTAGAGCTGACCCTAATTTGTACATCTGACCCCAGTATGTACAGCTGACCCCAGTATGTAGAGATGACCCCAGTATGTACATCTGACCCCAGTATGTACATCTGACCCCAGTATGTAGAGCTGACCCCAGTATGTACAACTGACCCCAGTATGTAGAGCTGACCCCAGTATGTAGAGCTGACCCCAGTATGTACATCTGACCCCAGTATGTAGAGCTGACCCCAGTATGTAGAGCTGACCCCAGTATGTACATCTGACCCCAGTATGTAGAGCTGACCCCAGAATGTAGAGCTGACCCCAGTATGTAGAGCTGACCCCAGTATGTACATCTGACCCCAGTATGTACATCTGACCCCAGTATGTAGAGCTGACCCCAGTATGTAGAGCTGACCCCAGTATGTAGAGCTGACCCCAGTATGTAGAGCTGACCCCAGTATGTAGAGCTAACCCCAGTATGTACAACTGACCCCAGTATGTACATCTGACCCCAGTATGTAGAGCTGACCCCAGTATGTAGAGCTGACCCCAGTATGTAGAGCTGACCCCAGTATGTACATCTGACCCCAGTATGTGGAGCTGACCCCAGTATGTAGAGCTGACCCCAGTATGTAGAGCTGACCCCAGTATGTAGAGCTGACCCCAGTATGTACATCTGACCCCAGTATGTAGAGCTGACCCCAGTATGTAGAGCTGACCCCAGTATGTAGAGCTGACCCCAGTATGTAGAGCTGACCCCAGTATGTAGAGATGACCCCAGTATGTAGAGCTGACCCCATTATGTAGAGATGACCCCAGTAAGTACTTCTGACCCCAGTATGTAAAGCTGAGTGTAAACTAACCCTATTGGTGCTACTGTCCAGGTACGTAGGTGAGATGGAGAGAGTGTCAGCACAACAGGCTTTAGACCCCCTACCTGATGGTACCTTCCTCATCAGGGTCACCAACAACCCTACTCGGCCAGGGGAGTTAAGTCTCAGTATTAAGTGAGTTTTTGGCTTTATTTTGTTGTATAAAACAGGGGAGTTAAGTCTCAGTATTAAGTGAGTTTATTGGTTTTATTTTGTTTTATAAAACAGGGGAGTTAAGTCTCAGTATTAAGTGAGTTTTTGGCTTTATTTTGTTTTATAAAACAGGGGAGTTAAGTCTCAGTATTAAGTGAGTTATTGGCTTTATTTTGTTTTATAAAACAGGGGAGTTAAGTCTCAGTATTAAGTGAGTTTTTGGCTTTATTTTGTGGTATAAAACAGGGGAGCTAAGTCTTAGTATTTGGTGAGTTGTTGGCCTTATGCTATAATTAAACACTGCAACATGGGAGATTCTGTATGTGGGTTAAGGTTCTTGTATTTTCTTTGTCTTCACTAAAACACTAATTACATATATATGTTGTAGAAGATGCATCTAGTTTGAATACCTACAGGTACGCCAATGCTGTGAGACACATCAAAGTGAACAGAACAGCTGATGGGCAGTTTTATCTGGCAGAATTGCGCTACTTTTCTTCTGTGCAGGTTGGTCGAGGGGGTTTACTGAAAACACACATGTACTTAATTATTGTCTACCTGTACTCTAGTACTTCCTTTTGTCATACCTGTACCAAAGTGCTGTCCCTTTGAATATTTACCACCAAACGATGATCCACCAATAAATATTTCCCTCCTAATCAACCTACCACTCAGTAGACAAATGACCATATCCTACCTGTTCCTTCTACAGGAGTTGGTTGACTTCTACCAGAACAACGAGCTCTCAGACAGCTTTCCTGATGTGTGCACAACCCTCAAATATCCTTACAAGAGGGTAGCCAGTAAGTTGGCCTTATTACACCATACACTAAAAGCCTTGCTTGAATGTTTACTCAATCAAACCTGTAGCCAGAAGGCTACAACCTGTGGTCAGTAGGTCCCAACCTGCAGGCTACAACCTGTGGTCAGTAGGTCCCAACCTGCAGGCTACAACCTGTGGTCAGTAGGTCCCAACCTGCAGGCTACAACCTGTGGTCAGTAGGTCACAACCTGCAGGCTACAGCCTGTGGTCAGTAGGTCACAACCTGCAGGCTACAACCTGTGGTCAGTAGGTTACAACCTGTGGTCAGTAGGTTACAACCTGCAGGCTACAATCTGTGGTCAGTAGGTTACACCCTGCAGGCTACAACCTGTGGTCAGTAGGTTACAACCTGCAGACTACAACCTGTGGTCAGTAGGTTACAACCTGTGGTCATTAGGTTACAACCTGTGGTCAGTAGGGCACAACCTGCAGGCTACAACCTGTGGTCAGTAGGTTACAACCTGCAGGCTACAACCTGTGGTCAGTAGGTTACAACCTGTGGTCAGTAGGTTACAACCTGCAGGCTACAACCTGTGGTCAGTAGGTTACAACCTGCAGGCTACAACCTGTGGTCAGTAGGTTACAACCTGCAGGCTACAATCTGTGGTCAGTAGGTTACAACCTGCAGGCTACAACCTGTGGTCAGTAGGTTACAACCTGCAGGCTACAATCTGTGGTCAGTAGGTTACAACCTGCAGGCTACAACCTGTGGTCAGTAGGTTACAACCTGCAGGCTACAACCTGTGGTCAGTAGGTTACAACCTGCAGGCTACAACCTGTGGTCAGTAGGTTACAACCTGTAGGTTACAACCTGCAGGCTACACCCAACTATAATGGCCAACTCAACCCATTTTACTGTTCCCAGATGGGCCGCGAGTATTAGGCTATGCCGTGGCCATCTATGATTATGCAGCTACATCTACAACTCAAGTGACACTAAAGGTTAATGACAGGATAGCCATACTGAGCAAAACTGGACAGGACAAAGGCTGGTGGAAAGGGGAGAATCTGCGCTCAAATAGGGTAATGGTCAGAATATTTAACATAGATCATTTTCTGTTTGTCCATAGATCTGATATTGTATGTTTGTCCAAAGATTTTTTATTGTATGTTTGTCTGTCTCTCCATAGATTGGCTACTTCCCACTGGCTTATGTACAAGATGAGGAGGAGTGAGGTGACAGTAGGCCAAGGGCAGTGCTACCTGTCAGTGCTACCTGTTGATATTCTAAACTAGATACTGAAGTTGGTTTACAGGGGACTCCTCCAGCAACACCTACTTAACATTAATTTATTTGACGAAGAGGTTAGTTAGAAAAACAAAGTGTACCAGCATTTATAAATAGAAATCTCAAGGTTTCTTAGTTGTCTGGCAAGGCTGTGGGGTTTATGGCCAGACAGATTTTTGACACGAGTGGCATGTCACTAATGTCATGACATGGCTGGCATGTCACTAATGTCATGACATGGCTGGCTGGTCACTAATGTCATGACATGGCTGGGATATCACTAATGTCATGACATGGCTGGCTGGTCACTAATGTCATGACATGGCTGGGATGTCACTGGTGTCATGACATGGCTGGCTGGTCACTAATGTCATGACATGGCTGGCTGGTCACTAATGTCATGACATGGCTGGCTGGTCACTAATGTCATGACATGGCTGGCTGGTCACTAATGTCATGACATGGCTGGGATATCACTGGTGACATGAAATGGCTGGCGTGTCACTAATGTCATGACATGGCTGGGATATCACTGGTGACATGAAATGGCTGGCGTGTCACTAATGTCATGACATGGCTGGGATATCACTGGTGACATGAAATGGCTGGCGTGTCACTAATGTCATGACATGGCTGCAATGTCTTTGGTGTCATTGCATGGCTGGGATGTCACTGGTGTCATGACATTGTCTGACCATACCACATGGCAATACAGTTGAAAGACCACACTAGCCATCATCCTAGTAACCCATTAGGCTGACCAGCAGGTCCATCAACAATTATTTCAGATGCCATTGCTAATGTTTCTAAAAAAAACTTCTTTCTCCACCCTCCCCTCCCCCATTAGTTCTCTCTGGTCCACACAACAGGGTTGCCAGCATTTGTTGTCAACCTTTGGTGTTGGTTGTTGTGGGCAGGTTGTGAGAATGTTGATGTATATAGTGGTGACTAGCATGAGTTTGTACATTTTCTTTCATGTTTTGATTGTATAAAAATTTCCCAGCCTCCGGCTGTAGCACTATTGTACAGAACTTATTTTCTCATGTATAGGAACATACTTTGTTTTTGCTTTCAAACTTCTGTTTCTTCAGCTGTTATTTAATTACTTCACCAACTAAAATGTTTTTATAGTTAAAACTGACATGCAAATAATTAGTTTTATAATTAACATTCAAATAATTATTTTTATAATTGACATTCTATTTTGTTATTTTCATTTTCTTGGCTTCAAAACAACCCATGTACACAAACCACGATCATTATCTCCCTTTGTATAGCAACTACTTGATGGCAGGCTACTTTGGTTTCTAATGAACTTATCTGTCACATTCCTACACATGGTCCAACTTTGGCATAGTTTCATGCCCTGCACCTGACATTAAGTACAATGCTCCCTAACAGTCATACTTGGTTCCTTTCAGAATATTCTCAATGGGAGGGGTTGTCAATGTTTGAAATATATATTTACTATAAAAAAGTTTCTATTTTTTATTTATCCTCCCTTACTTTCCCCTCCCCCCCCCCCCCCCCCCTCCACAAGAGATAGCTGAGAGAAACTCTGCAGCCATGCCATTTTTTAAAACTTTCCTTACAATCACTGTTCACCTGTCCTGTCCCAAGAAACAAGCCCACCAGCTGCAGTGTGACTCCATAAAATACCCCCCCCCCCTGCTCAAGTATATGCTCATCAAACTTTACATTTCTGTTGGTTACAACTAAGACTGGTTTAAATGCTCAATGAATTCAACTTTGGACCCACTGTTTTTGTTCTCTATTGGTTTGTTTCAAGCTAACAACATAATAGCCTGTTAGCTGCCCACAATTTTTTTGTGATAAAATTCTCTCATTGCTACAAGTCTGTTTATTCAAGGGAGGGAATATGTGTTGTCTGTCCTGCAGCCTGTGTAGCCCATGTACACAATGAACAAGTTATCAAATGTGGTTTTATATATTTCTATGATGACTGATGACACTGAGCCTAGCAGACCTAGACACTTCAATAAAGATGCCATGTTTACAGAGTTTCTTCTTTTCTATTGTGCTATGTCTGCTCACTACAGCTCATAACATTAACAAAATGATTCAGTGGAGTCATGCTGTGATATTTGAGAATTTTATTTGACATAGATGACAGAGAGATGCATGTTTTGATAGAACAGTGCACCACTTGCTGGGAGATGGACTTGGGTTGCTATAAATAAACATGTCTCACATGATCAACTTTCTAAATATAGATTCACACATGACCACAATCTAATATCAAAATATAGATGACATTTTTGCAATGAGTGAAACATTGACCAAATAAATAAAATCCCAGTGTGACACTAAACATTGTGGGAGATAAAATGTAAACAAAACTTTGATTTGCACAGGTAGACTTGCATGGTATTTCTCTAACATATTATGCATAATAACAGAGTTACATCTGGAAACACTATGGATATCATCCAATGTACAAAAAACATCTGTAGTTAGAAAATAAGTTTGATCTTTTTTACAATATTTACAAGCATTTTATTATTACCCCACATTAGGCATGTAAATTTAGATGCAAGTTTACATAATCAGGTCAAATCATGTTTTTACTAGGCTTAAAATTTGAAATTGACTCAAGTGGTTAACAAAGTATAAAAGAATATTAATGAAAAAATTTCTAACATTTTTTTTTTTTAGAAATATTGGTAATAAATTGAATTTAGATTTTATGCTTCAATAAAAAAAAAAGTAAATCAATTTTTTGCATTACTTTAAAATTAATAGGTAGAACAATTGCATGGAAAATTTCAAAATCCTGATGCAATTTTTAGGCATATAATTATAATGAGAAGTTTTCTGTGAGATTATATTTTTAAAAATATTTGTAAAATTTAGATATAAAGCGAGGCATAATTCATAAATTAAGATTTTCTGACACAAATATACATAATTCAAGTCTTACACAAATATACATACAAAATTCAAGTGATTTAGGAATGGAATATAAAAGGGTACAACTGGGTTTTTTCTGTCTACATTACGTAAGCACATCATAGCACCACCTTTGTGATGGGTACTACATCAGTCATCCCGCACCCAAACTAAAGCTTGCACCCAAACTAAAGCTAGCATCCTCAACCAAACTATAGAACCAAAGCTTTCCTTAACAGTTTTGTTATCACAGACGAAGAGATTTTGATTTTGTTTACATGTTCTATTGTTACTGTAATGTTACATGGCTCATGTTAAAGCTTTCACCAAAAAATCTTTGGTTACATAAAAAAAATAATCAAGAAATACGGATTGCCGAGACTATTGGGGCAGCATTCTTGCCATCACAACTTTTTAACTAAGTTAATATTACTTCTAAGTGTATACATAAATTTGCATAGATTAGTGGTCATCCCAAGTTTTCAACAGACCACCAGACTTAACTTGGGTTTGTTTAGTTCAATGTTTGCAAACTTATAACTTACATAACAACTTGAAAGGGCTATAGCACAGTCTGCTCCCCTTAATTTCTCACTTGAAGCTATATGGTGAGGTCAACAAACCTCATGGAGGGTGCCTTGCAGCTAGCTTCGGCATTCAATGGAACATCATCCCACTCAAGGGTAACAAGGTCAGCTCACAGAATAAGCACAAAATGGTTACAGGAAACAAATGTGAAATCATCTTTGAACTTTAGTGACGATGAAAAAAGTGGTACCATTTTGTAGGAACTAAACTTACAACACACAAATCATGATCACATTAACTACAAATTGTTTAAAATAACCAAAGTGAAATCATTTGAATTCATGGATAAATTTATCAAAATATTTAAATACAACTAAATTAAAACACAGACTTCAAAAGTAAAAAAGAACTGCTAATACATTAATCTAGAACTAAATAAAGAATAAAGCTTTTTAAAAAAATGAAAATTGTACACAAAAAAAAAACATCCAAAAAGCCCTGATCTTGAAAGTTTTGTTAAGATTTATGCTGAATATTTCCAGCTGCGAGGTCTTGATAAACTTCAGACTCGAGGAACCTGCGATAGGAATCCTTTTCCATGAGTGCCTGCACCCTGCGCTGAGCTTCATCAAAAGTTTGTCTGTTGGGGTTGGATGTCACACTTTCAAATGTCAAATTTCGAGTTTTTGAATCCAGATTTATCTAGTGATAAAAAATGTACAATTAAAAAAATGTAAACAAGCCATTTGTTGCCAATGTAAACAAATCTTATAAAGTTGTTAATTTTTTAGACTATAAAAATATGAAATAATGGGAGAAGCTTTTACCTCTCGTTTAGACTGGACGGCGACATAGTCGTTAAATATTTTATTGGCAAGGGCGGGTAACTGTTTGGATGATCTGGTACTTTTGTAGTTTTCACAAGCAATCCAAAACTCAATGTTTTCATCACTGTGTTCAGACATCAAGAACCCACGGAACAATTCTAGGCCAGCTGGGAGGGAGACAACATGGGAGGCTTCATTAATTGTTATCAACAGACAACTTTTTAAAAAGTTTTTAAAATAATACAAATTACAATCTTCTAAATAATAATTTTAAAAAAAAATTAGATTAGGGTGTTTATAATGAAGAGACTTACTTTTGTCAAACAACAAAGACTCAAAAGATTTGCTCCATTCTTGCGCTTCTTCAGGGTCAACATTGGCTAGTCGTCTGGCACCCTCCTCGCCCTTCATCATCCCCAGAGTGGAGTCCGTGTGTCTCCTCCTCAAAAATTGCATTTTTTTGGAAATCTTTTTGGCTCTGTCAAAGAGAAACAGCACAAGTTGAATATTTTTTTTATTATGGCCATGGTAGTTAGTTTTGGCTAAAAAACTGTACTTACATTTTACAGTACATAAAATATATAAATTTAAACCTTAGCATTAATAGAGTAAATCAAGTTGGAGAATGTTATTTTGTAAAGCAGACAGACAGTGTTGTCTAGCTAGAGTGACTCTAAGACATCTAGATCTTACTGAAGTTACTATAGAACAATAACAGTGACGTCAGTAAGAAGTAAAAGCCAAATCACTTTCATTTTTTAAAAATAACCTCAAGTAGAACAGATTTTAAACTACTCTACTATTACTAAATTTGTATTTTTCCTAGATTGACTGAGATCTAGAATAATCAAAATTCTAACGCATTTGCCTATAACTCGCGTAGAGACAAGTTATTAGATCTAGGAAATGAGATAAATATGTGTGGGGAATAGTGTATACTAGTGTATAGGGAGGGGGGGTGGAGGATGAAAAAATGCTAGGGACAATGAAATCGCGAGTCTACCCTTATAAAAAAAACTAACATGGCTGCAGAATCTTGTTTGATGTGAGTCAGTGTTTCTTCCAGACTTTTTTCTCCGGGGGGGGGGGGGCACTTGAAATTTTCGGGGGGCGGACACTGTTAAAAGTATATATTTTCTATATAAATTATACAAATTTCATTACATGTACCTTTTCCTATTTGTTTACTTTTCTATCACATCTCAACCCACACTAAGCCTAAAATATTTGGAAAATCTCAACTTTTAAAAACAATGTCGGTCACGTGACAATGTGTTGCCGCCATGTTGTACGAATATTTTTAGCGCCACAACAGAGACACGTAAACATGTCCGCGTCATATCTCGTCTGATTAGATTAGCCTCATGGGGGAGGATACTTTTTTAATGTTACCCCAAGACAAAAATACACAGATGTTTACCAAATTGTGCTCTCTTCAAATCACTAGCTGTTTTTAAATTACGTTGTGAAAAAGTGTACCAAAACCAAATATTAACTAGATTTAACTAGCTTTGCTATATGTTTGATGTTAACCCCCTACTGTATAAAAAAGATTTGGGCCACCCATCTGAATGTTGACTCGTGCATGTAAATTTTGTTGTTTTAATGAGCTCATTTTTCGCCTGATAAAAAAAAATCCTGAAAGATGCTCGATTGAAAACTACGATCAGCACGCGCTTCTAATTTTAGACCGCCCCCCCCTCTCGCGCCGCCCCTGGCCTCATCCACGGCTCAGAATGAGTCATTCCATCGGCTCAACTTGAAATCGGAGTTCAGTTATCGCAGTCTAAAAATAGAAACCAACTTGTGGGAATCAGCCGTACCTTAAACTTTTACCGTTGGCGCTCATAGTGTAAAAGTGATCTAAAAGCTGTACTCTAAATTTTCCTGTTAAATTAGTCTAGCTCTCTGGGCTTGTTTTTTCTTTAATAAAATTTAAATTTTCAAACACATTTTTTTTTTAATTGGAGATTTTAGTTTTCGTTTCCTGTTTTGTAGGTTAGTTAAGGTTAGACGGAAAAGTGAAATGTCAGGCAGATGTCATTTGATCTAGATACATCAGTCAAACAGTCTATGACTTGCATGTTTCTAGACTTGGTCTATGACTTGCATGTTTCTAGACTTGGTCTATGACTTACATGTTTCTAGACTTGGTCTATGACTTACATGTTTCTAGACTTGGTCTATGACTTACATGTTTCTAGACTTGGTCTATGACTTACATGTTTCTAGACTTGGTCTATGACTTACATGTTTCTAGACTTGGTCTATGACTTACATGTTTCTAGACTTGGTCTATGACTTACATGTTTCTAGACTTGGTCTATGACTTACATGTTTCTAGACTTGGTCTATGACTTACATGTTTCTAGATTTAGGCTTGGCTTGTGGCATAATGACTCCCAGTTCATCAGCCGCCAACATCGCGGAGTCAGCCGACTTCGTCTTGTGGATGCGACCAAAATGACTCCTCTTGCCTGTCGTTGTTCGCGTCGTTCCATCTTCATCCACGTCGTCATCTTCGTCGTCGTCTTTTTTCATGTGTCTGATATCACCCTCGCTCGAGCGGGCTTTGCGAGCTGCCATCTGGAATAGAATAGGATCGAAACCCGTCAGGAATGGGACATGTTTCAGGAACCTACGACTTTTTGTTAGTACATTACAGGGGGGGAAGGGGGATGTCGAATCGGTGTTTGAACCCAGTTCGCGTCTCTTGCTGTGGGAAACTGGTGGCCGAGTCGGTAGTTAGCTGCGGCTACTTGGGTGGCGGATCTTGTAGTACCCGACGCAAACTATGAGCTACAGTGTACACAAACTATGAGCTAAAGTGTACGCAAACTATGAGCTAAAGTGTACGCAAACTATGAGCTAAGCTAAAGTGTAAGCAAACTATGAGCTACAGTGTACGCAAACTATGAGCTAAAGTGTACGCAAACTATGAGCTAAAGTGTACGCAAACTATGAGCTAAAGTGTACGCAAACTATGAGCTACAGTGTACGCAAACTATGAGCTAAAGTGTACGCAAACTATGAGCTAAGCTAAAGTGTACGCAAACTATGAGCTAAGCTAAAGTGTACGCAAAATATGAGCTAAGCTAAAGTGTGCGCAAACTGACTCCTATGAGCTAACTGACAATGTCTAACAATATGCTGATGTTGTTGTTGGTCATCATGATGTGGCGTGAAATGTTAACATCCGTGTATATAGGGAGGAGGTTTTAGTATATAGGGAGGAGGCGTATGTCTGTATGTCGATAAAAGCTCACATGTAGGGACAGACGTGACAACATCCATCTAGTTGGCTAGTGCGCCGATGTTACAACATCCATCTAGTTGCCTAGTGCGCCGATGTTACAACATTCATTTCATCTAGTTGCCTAGTGCGCCGATGTTACAACATTCATCTAGTTGCCTAGTGCGCCGACGTTACAACATTCATTTCATCTAGTTGCCTAGTGCGCCGACGTTACAACATTCATTTCATCTAGTTGCCTAGTGCGCCGACGTTACAACATTCATTTCATCTAGTTGCCTAGTGCGCCGACGTTACAACATTCATTTCATCTAGTTGCCTAGTGCGCCGACGTTACAACATTCATTTCATCTAGTTGCCTAGTGCGCCGACGTTACAACATTCATTTCATCTAGTTGCCTAGTGCGCCGACGTTACAACATTCATTTCATCTAGTTGGCTAGTGCGCCGACGTTACAACATTCATTTCATCTAGTTGCCTAGTGCGCCGACGTTACAACATTCATTTCATCTAGTTGCCTAGTGCGCCGACGTTACAACATTCATTTCATCTAGTTGGCTAGTGCGCCGACGTTACAACATTCATTTCATCTAGTTGGCTAGTGCGCCGACGTTACAACATTCATTTCATCTAGTTGCCTAGTGCGCCGATGTTACAACATTCATCTAGTTGCCTAGTGCGCCGACGTTACAACATTCATTTCATCTAGTTGCCTAGTGCGCCGACGTTACAACATTCATTTCATCTAGTTGCCTAGTGCGCCGACGTTACAACATTCATTTCATCTAGTTGGCTAGTGCGCCGACGTTACAACATTCATTTCATCTAGTTGCCTAGTGCGCCGACGTTACAACATTCATTTCATCTAGTTGCCTAGTGCGCCGACGTTACAACATTCATTTCATCTAGTTGCCTAGTGCGCCGACGTTACAACATTCATTTCATCTAGTTGCCTAGTGCGCCGATGTTACAACATTCATTTCATCTAGTTGCCTAGTGCGCCGATGTTACAACATTCATTTCATCTAGTTGCCTAGTGCGCCGATGTTACAACATTCATTTCATCTAGTTGCCTAGTGCGCCGACGTTACAACATTAATTTCATCTAGTTGCCTAGTGCGCCGACGTTACAACATTCATTTCATCTAGTTGCCTAGTGCGCCGACGCATGATGGTCGCAATATAATGGACACAATACTACACTGAGCTAAGGTTGACAACGAAAGGTGAAGGTTACAACGATAAGGTCACAACGTCTCCGTCCACAACTTACCGACTCCTTACCACGGTGTTGTTCCACAAACAGCGCATGCGCGGGCACGTCTTTCGCACACCCGGCGCTCTGAGACCGGTTGAGCGGACGGGATAAAATTTTCCGGAATCGTCTCTTTTTTCCGCCTTCCTTAGTCGTCCCGTTGGCGACGTGTTCGGCTGGCCGGGTCTCCACGCTGACCTCTACATCCGAACCCTCGGGGCTTGACCCGCACGAGAAGGTCACCGAGCTGGCGGGCGTGGCCAGGTTCTCAATGTCCGGCTCCTCTCTCGTCTTCTGGGCCACATATCGTTTGGCCGCGTGGGAGCTCCGGGCCAACTTTTTATTCTTGATCAGTCTTAACCCGGACAAACCGCTAATTAATCCGCCACCTCTCGACACGTCATCGCTTTTACCCATCCGGCCTTTCTCTATGACGGGAGGGTCAAGGTCACCGAAAGAGACGCTGGTGTCGGTTTCAGACCGCGCCAGGGGGGCACGCGCACGTGTTCTGTCCTTGAGCTCGTGGCAAAGGTCAAGGCTACACTTGCGGGGCGAGGCCGGCTGGTCCCCCACTTTGGTTACCTGGTGCTGGGGGTTGGACAGCTGCTTGACGAACGCCTCCAGGTCCTCGTCCGTCCACTGGCTCTTCACTGGGCTGCTCACGTGACCAGACCACCTGTCGGTCGCTGGTGATGTGGGCTCATCAAGGTGGACGCCCTGCAACACAATGGGCTGGGTTAGATGGGGCCAACACAATGGGCTGGGTTAGATGGGGCCAACACAATGGGCTGGGTTAGATGGGGCCAACACAATGGGCTGGGTTAGATGGGGCCAACACAATGGGCTGGGTTAGATGGGTCCAACACAATGGGCTGGGTTAGATGGGGCCAACACAATGGGCTGGGTTAGATGGGGCCAACACAATGGGCTGGGTTAGATGGGTCCAACACAATGGGCTGGGTTAGATGGGGCCAACACAATGGGCTGGGTTAGATGGGGCCAACACAATGGGCTGGGTTAGATGGGTCCAACACAATGGGCTGGGTTAGATGGGTCCAACACAATGGGCTGGGTTAGATGGGGCCAACACAATGGGCTGGGTTAGATGGGGCCAACACAATGGGCTGGGTTAGATGGGGCCAACACAATGGGCTGGGTTAGATGGGGCCAACACAATGGGCTGGGTTAGATGGGGCCAACACAATGGGCTGGGTTAGATGGGTCCAACACAATGGGCTGGGTTAGATGGGGCCAACACAATGGGCTGGGTTAGATGGGGCCAACACAATGGGCTGGGTTAGATGGGTCCAACACAATGGGCTGGGTTAGATGGGGCCAACACAATGGGCTGGGTTAGATGGGGCCAACACAATGGGCTGGGCTGGGTTAGATGGGGCCAACACAATGGGCTGGGCTGGGTTAGATGGGGCCAACACAATGGGCTGGGTTAGATGGGGCCAACACAATGGGCTGGGTTAGATGGGGCCAACACAATGGGCTGGGTTAGATGGGGCCAACACAATGGGCTGGGTTAGATGGGTCCAACACAATGGGCTGGGTTAGATGGGGCCAACACAATGGGCTGGGTTAGATGGGGCCAACACAATGGGCTGGGTTAGATGGGGCCAACACAATGGGCTGGGTTAGATGGGTCCAACACAATGGGCTGGGTTAGATGGGGCCAACACAATGGGCTGGGTTAGATGGGACCAACACAATGGGCTGGGTTAGATGGGTCCAACACAATGGGCTGGGTTAGATGGGTCCAACACAATGGGCTGGGTGAGATGGGGCCAACACAATGGGCTGGGTTAGATGGGGCCAACACAATGGGCTGGGTTAGATGGGGCCAACACAATGGGCTGGGTTAGATGGGGCCAACACAATGGGCTGGGTTAGATGGGGCCAACACAATGGGCTGGGTTAGATGGGTCCAACACAATGGGCTGGGTTAGATGGGGCCAACACAATGGGCTGGGTTAGATGGGGCCAACACAATGGGCTGGGTTAGATGGGTCCAACACAATGGGCTGGGTTAGATGGGGCCAACACAATGGGCTGGGTTAGATGGGGCCAACACAATGGGCTGGGCTGGGTTAGATGGGGCCAACACAATGGGCTGGGTTAGATGGGGCCAACACAATGGGCTGGGTTAGATGGGGCCAACACAATGGGCTGGGTTAGATGGGGCCAACACAATGGGCTGGGCTGGGTTAGATGGGGCCAACACAATGGGCTGGGCTGGGTTAGATGGGGCCAACACAATGGGCTGGGTTAGATGGGGCCAACACAATGGGCTGGGTTAGATGGGGCCAACACAATGGGCTGGGTTAGATGGGGCCAACACAATGGGCTGGGATAGATGGGGCCAACACAATGGGCTGGGTTAGATGGGGCCAACACAATGGGCTGGGTTAGATGGGGCCAACACAATGGGCTGGGTTAGATGGGGCCAACACAATGGGCTGGGTTAGATGGGGCCAACACAATGGGCTGGGTTAGATGGGGCCAACACAATGGGCTGGGTTAGATGGGGCCAACACAATGGGCTGGGTTAGATGGGGCCAACACAATGGGCTGGGTTAGATGGGGCCAACACAATGGGCTGGGTTAGATGGGGCCAACACAATGGGCTGGGTTAGATGGGGCCAACACACACACCTGACAGTCAACACTTTACACATCTGACACGGTACTTGGCATGACTCACGTTGAAGTCACGAACATTCGAGAACGTTTGGTTCAACATTTTGCTGATAATTTTTTAATCGTTTTTTTTCTCAAATCTTCTTGGCAGTGACACAAAATGTTTAGAATTTGACCTGATCTTAGGGCGTGGTTTCTTTCTTGTCGAGATAGCGATGTTGAAGACAGGGATATCTTTAAATACATAGACACGCAAGTACGCACTCACACACACACACACACACGCAGTCACACACAGGCGCTCATAGAATGCTGAAAAACCAGTGAGGAATGTGGCAGTCACGTGATTAATTAATCTGACAATATCTAGAGGATCCTAAAGATTTTATGTTTGAGATGTAGGCTGGGGAGCCAAATTTTTCTGCACATCCCGGCCTTCTCTCCCTTGGCTCCCACTGTTTGTCCGGCGTTAGTCGAGTGGTCCATTTTGTCTTCTAGCGAACTTAATTTACCCAGGTCAATGTTGTTCGTCTGCACGAAAGTTACCAACACGACCCGTCGGTAATTTATTGCTGCAAACCTTTGATTTAATTGCCGTCTGCTCGTCAACACATCTTGACCTTACATACTTTTTTTAAACTGCTGGGGAGACCGCTTGCTGGTTCGCCTCATTTAATTATCTGACGCAGCCCAGTGATCAAAGAAGTTTGAAAACGAGGCTTATTAGACACCCGGGAACATGGCGCCTGAAGATGGAGTCATGTGATAGCCATATTGTGCGCCCAGACACTCAATCGCTAACAACTGCTATGACGTCAGCGGTTTTTCGGTTTAGCAAGTTTGTTTTTTTTTAATTTCAGCACTTGCAAGATTTAAAGTTAATAATAGATCAGGTATTTTTTCTTGCTTATGGGAGATAATTTAGGAATGTAAAAATAAAGTATAAACACAAGGTTGTTGTATGACCAGAGCAACGCCTGACCGGAACGGCTAGTAGTAAAAAAACCAAAATCCCTAGCCAATGTCCCACGCTGGTTACACAATGGGGAAACAAGGGAAAAAATAAAATGGAGAGAACAGGGTAGTAAACCGATGCACGTGCAAGATAGGATTGGGAAATGGGAAGATTATGATGAGCAATGTGTAGGGGTGGGGTGGGGGGTGACTGAACGAGAGGTGGTTCAGGGCAACAACTAGCGCTTCTAGACAGAGTAGCGGTTCTTAGATCTGATGAACACAGCATCATTTCAATTCAATTATCTCTGGACAGACACTGTGAACATGGGGGAGGGGGAGATGCACCTTACTAGCCCGGTCGAGTTGACACGTGATATACTCGGTTAGCATTTCTCAACTGAACTGATGACGAAATCACCCTACATTTAAGGCACGACTATCACCAACATGATAGTTTGCCTACCAAAATGTACTAGTTTGCCTACCAAAATGTACTAGTTTGCCTACCAAAATGTACTAGTTTGCCTATCAAAATGTACTAGTTTGCCTACCAAAATGTGCTAGTTTGCCTACCAAAATGTACTAGTTTGCCTACCAAAATGTACTAGCCCGCCTACCAAAATGTACTAGTTTGCCTACCAAAATGTGCTAGTTTGCCTACCAAAATGTACTAGTTTGCCTACCAAAATGTGCTAGTTTGCCTACCAAAATGTGCTAGTTTGCCTACCAAAATGTACTAGTTTGACTACCAAAATGTGCTAGTTTGCCTACCAAAATGTACTAGCCCGCCTACCAAAACAAGCTCTAGTGTGCTAGATAAAACCACTGCTGGTTTGCCTGCAAGTCGACGCCATCGATTTCTGTGTCTGGCGGGTGGTTGTGACCTGGTCAGCAGACGACAGGCAATCACGTGATACAAGTTCCGTTTCACGTGCACAAACCCCATCCATTTTACACCCCCACCCCACCCCGCCCATAAAAGCACAGGACAACGTTTAAACGTACAGTGAAGAAGGTAGATTTTTTTTTCTGGATGGTTAGGGTCCCACCAAATATCCGGACTCTTAGGGTCCCATCAAATACAAATACCCATACAAATACCCATACAAATACCCATACAAATACCCATACAAATACCCATACAAATACCCATACAAATACCCATACAAATACCCATACAAATACCCATACAAATACCCATACAAATACCCATACAAATACCCATACAAATACCCATACAAATACCCATACAAATACCCATACAAATACCCATACAAACACCCATACAAATACCCATACTAATACCCATACAAATACCCATACTAATACCCATACAAATATCCATACAGATATCCATACAAATATCCATATAAAATACATTTAAAATACATATAAAATAACATAAAATACATATAATTATTTATTTATATTTACATAAAATCAAAGATAATATTGCCTAAGATGACGAGTAGATAAGGTGATAGTTAATGAGTTAATTAAACAAATTAGTTCAAGCACTCACCATGATCATCACACTCATGAAATCGCGAAGGAAAAATTTCGCGCGGCTGAGTGTTAACGTCGTGGTTGCTGTTGTTGTCGACACAGGGTAGGAAATAAATGTCCACTTTGGTGGTCAGCCGGCAGTAATGTCCAACTTTGGTGGTCAGCCGACAGTAAACAAACTCACCAACCTAGTGTGCTCGGTGTGTGAACGACGTGACAACAACTCACTGTGTGAGATACACGTCTGACCCTCACCCGCTACAACTGAATGGAAGAGCTCTCTCACCCTCCACTAAATAGCCCGAGCAGCACGTCAGGCTGTGGCGTTACTCACACTTGCGGCAGGTATCGATATTCCTCATCTCCCGCTTCGATACCGATTACTTTACATTAATCTTCAATTTTTGTGTGTTTATAGTAAACATGAATGTTTGGAAAAATATAATACGTGGTAAACGGTGAGACAAAGATGTGAATGGTGAGACAAAGATGTGAATGGTGAGACAAAGAGGTGAATGGTGAGACAAAGGTGTGGTGAATGGTGAGACAAGATGTGGTGAATGGTGAGACGAGGACGGGATGTACACTTATTATCTGTACCAAAGAGC